TGGATGGATGGATGGATGGATGGATGGATGGATGGATGGAGATGGATGGGTGTATGAATTGATGGATGGATGGATGGATGGATGGATGGATGGATGGATGGAGATGGATGGGTGTATGAATTGATGGATGGATGGATGGATGGATGGATGGATGGATGGATGGAGATGGATGGGTGTATGAATTGATGGATGGATGGATGGATGGATGGATGGATGGATGGATGGAGATGGATGGGTGTATGAATTGATGGATGGATGGATGGATGGATGGATGGATGGATGGATGAATGGATGGATGAATGGACAGGTGGATACACAGACGCAGGCCCATGTCAGGTCAACACGTTGCAGGGGAACACACAAAAAGTGCTGTCAACCATTACACAGCCTAGATACGTTGAAAAATCAACAGAAAAAATGTGCGAGTAATTGCATGCTCACTCAGAAGAACATGCGTACAAACACCACCAGAATATGATCGAACCACGAACATTGCTGATTGCAACTGTAACTACTCACAGCATCAAAAACATAGACTAATTGATCAAACAGGAGCAATCAAACACATTCTCACTACACGAGGTAATATGTATGCAGTATTAGCAGTAGTTAGTAGTAATGGCAGTAGTAATGACCATGCAGTAGATCGTGTGCAATTAGTTCAATATTCTGATCTTTAAATGCTTCATTATCAAGATGCACTAACGCCAACTCTGCTCCAGGGATAAACAGATATGGCCAAAAAACTACAGATTTGATCCTTGCTTAATTTAAATAGATGATAAGTTGATTTTTTTTACGAACCTTTCCTGCATAGTGATGAATGATGAATCCACCACTTACATCTTGGTAGTGTTGGTGACTGCCTACAGCCCCACACAGTTTCTGATCAGGACAAATATAGAACTGTTAACAAAGCTGTTAACAAAGTGGACTCTCTGTTTGCCTCCAGCCCATCCTCTGCCTGCCCTCATCCCCCCCTCTCCCTCTTTCTCCCCCTTCCTCTCCCTCTTTCTCACTCTGTCTCTCTCTCTCTCTCTCTCTCACTCTCCCTCTGTATCTCTATCTGTCTCTCTTCTTCCCTCATCCCCCCTCTCTCTCTCTATCTCGCTCACCTACTCATTCTTTCTGACACTCTCCGTCTGTTCACGTTTCGGATGCTGCTTGCGTTTCGGTGCGTGGCAAAATAGTTAGTTCAATCATCTTATAAATTTTTAATCGATTGCGTATCCACGTTCTACTGTACTTCCCCGTACCCCCGGTCAGTAAATCAGAGTCCCTGCATCCATTCCTGATGCGCGATTGACGCATGATCAATACGATTTACATAATTAATGAAAGAATGAAAGAGGAAAAAAAGACCCGTTCCGCACAGCCGAACGCGCCAAGTTTTTTATCGACGGAAATTATTTAACAATTTGTTAACGTACAGCTCGGAGGCGGATGACAAATGAGATTATTTCGATCGGGAAATCGAGTTTTACGCTGTCCCTCGCTGAAATGACAGACTATATATAACGCCAGTGCTGTTATCGAACAACGCAAATCGAAGCGCTA